CCCCTGCCCACCTTCTCTCTTCTTCCCCTGCCCACCCTCCCCTGCGCGCCTTCTCTCTTCTTCCCCTGCGCGCCTTCTCTCTTCTTCCCCTGCGCGCCTTCTCTCTTCTTCCCCTGCGCGCCTTCTCTCTTCTTCCCCTGCCCACCCTCCCTCCCTCCCCCCTTCTCAGCTACATGCACGCATCCAACGGCTTCGCAGCGACCCTCACGGCAGCGCAGGTGCAGCGCATGAGGCGGCACCCCTCCGTGGCGTCCGTCACGCCCTCTCGCACCATCACACGCCGCCGCGCCGTCACTGCCGCCGCCGACGGGCACAAGTCTCTCAACCTGCCCCACGCCCGTGCTGCTGCTGCTGCTGCCACTGCTGCTGCTGCTGCCACTCCTGCTGCTGCCACTCCGGCTGGAGCGCCGAGCGATGGTGATGACACGGTGATTGGGATTGTGGACAGCGGCGTGTGGCCGGAGCACCCCTCCTTTGACGATACGGTACGCTGAGACCCCTCCTTTGACGATACGGTACGCTGAGACCCCTCACCTTATGAGCAGCTGCTGCTGCTGTTACTGCTGCCGCTGCTGCTGCTGCTGCCGCCGCCGCCGCCGCCGCTGCTGCTGCTGCCGGAGAGACTAGTAGTGGTGTTGTTGATGCTGCTGTTACCTCCTTCCTTCCCTTCACCATCCTTGATGACGTGTCCTCCCTCTCTTCCCTCGCTCCTCCTTTTTCCATCTCGCCGCTCCCTCCCTTCTCCTCGTTCTCCTTCGCATCCCCCCTTTGGTTCCCTCTTTCCCATCCTTTCATCTCGCCGCTCCCTCCCTTCTCCTCATTCTTTCTCCCTTCTCCTTCGCATCCCCTTTGGTTCCTTCTTTCCCATCCTTTCATCTCTGCCTCCCCGTCCCACCGCAACAGACGACTATCGTCACCAGCTTTTTTTCCAATCAATTGCCCCTCCACCCTCCTCGTCCCCGCCAGGGCTACAGCAGCACGCTCCCTGCCGGGTGGGCGGGCACGTGTCCCACTACAAGCGACTTCGCTTGTAACAACAAGATCATCGGAGGGGGCATCTTTCACGCGGGGTTAGAGAGCACGCATAGGGACAGCTTCAACCTCACCCTCAACTGGCTGTCCCCGCGGGATTCTGATGGCCATGGCACTTGGTGTGCCGGGTGAGTGTAAGGATGTGTGGTGAGTGTAGCAGTTATGTGCGGTGAGTGCAAGGATGTGCCGTGAGTGCTGGGACGTGTGGTGACATGTGTGGTGAGTGTATGCAGTAGCAGTATGCAGGCAGCAACAGCAGGCAAATAGCGGTGGCAGGAAGCAGCAGCAGCAGGCAAGTGGCAGCAGCAGGCAAGCGGCAGCAGCAGGCAAGCGGCAGCAGCAGGCAAGCGGCAGCAGCAGGCAAGCGGCAGCAGGGGAAGTGCCAGTGGCGATGCCATGGCCTTGCATGGTATTTTTTTTAGAATTCTCAAGAAACACACGCTGCATGGTATGGTGTGGTCTGCCTTGGGATTGCACAGCGTGGCGTGTTAGATAGTAGTTTGGCAGAGAGGGGGGAAGAAGAATATGCATGTGGTGTGGCCAGGACATTCCCGTCCCGTCCCTTCATAGCCGCTCCTTCCATTCACTTCATACCCATGTCGCCCCACCCTTAGAGCGGCAGCGGGCAACAGCGGCGTGAGCATGCCTGGCTGGGACACGGTCAGTGGCGTGGCTCCCAAGGCACGCCTGGCCATCTACAAGGTGTACTGGCACAGCACGCGTACTTACGATATACGCGCTTCAGAAATAGACGTCTTTGCAGCCGTTGATCGGGCCGTGGCGGACGGTGTGGATGTGCTGACCCTGTCGCTGGATGACTCGTCGCACACAGAAATTATGGGCGACGGCAAGGGCACCGGAGCCTACTTTGACGATGTGCCTTTCCTCGGCGCCCTTGCGGTGGGTGTCAGGGGCGTGCGGTGGGTGTGGTGTGGCTTAGCTGGTTGGCCCTAGCATGTTCTTGGATTCACGTGCATGCGAGTGCGGGGGTATTCTTGAGTGTGAATTCGCATGCAACTCACCGCTTTCTACCCTCCCTCCCTCCCTCCCTCCCTCCCTCCATCAAACCGGGCTATTTGTAGAATTCGCAGTAGGCAACAACACCTGCCCATCACCGACACCTGAGATTCACCGACACCTGAGATTCACTGACACCTGAGATTCACTGACACCTGAGATTCACTGACACCTGAGATTCACTGACACCTGAGATTTACCGACACCTGAGATTTACCGACACCTGAGATTCACTGACACCTGAGATTTACCGACACCTGAGATTCAGCAATTTGAAACCTTTCAACCCTTTGCCCCTCTCAGTCCTCATTCTCGCCTCTTCTCCCCCCGTCTTTTCCCCCACTCCCTCCTTCAGGCCGGAGTGACTGTGGCCCGGGCAGTGGGCAACAATGGAGAGGCCAAGTTCCATTACATGTATGGTACTCTTGTGGGTATCGGCAACTTTGCACCCTTCTATATCAGCGTGGGGGCAAGGTGAGAGTGAGGAGCGCTAATATCAGCATGAGAATGAAGAGTGGCTGAGGTTGCATTGCGTCCCCATGCTCTTACGGAGGACGGCCTCATGCATGCTCTGCAACGGGGTGACATGAGATGCTATCACCCTCTACTGCTACATTCATGACATGCCATGAGTGCATGTGCACGCGTTGTCCTTTGCAGGCAAGGCAAGGTACGTGCTTGTTTGTTCTACGCGCTGCAGCTTTGCGCTGCACTACTTTTTCCTCCTCTTTTTCTTCCCTTGAATCATGCGTTTTCCCATGCCCCCTTCCCTCGTCTTGCATCTCTCCCTCGTCTTGCATCTCCTGCTGCCCTTCTCATGCTTACACACACCTTCCATGCCTCACCATGCAGTACGCTGCCACAGGCTTCCCTCACCTTAACATCAACATCAACATCAACATCCACAGCAGCAGCGGTAGAATCTCCTGCAAACACCACAGGCCCAGCAGCATCAACACTGCTGGGAACCCCACTCCCAGCCACCATCTCCCCCGCAGAAGACACCGCCCTTCCCATCGTTCCCACCTGGTCCTCCACCGGCCCTCTCACCAAACCCGGCTGTTCATTATGCCAACCATTGAAGCTCCTCCGCCGCGCCAACGCCATTGTCAAGCCAGACATCATCGCCCCGGGAGTCGGCATCCTTGCAGCTGAGCCTGGGCAAAAGGTCGGCGAGACGGGGTCGTTTAGGGGTTATTATGAGGACACTGCCATCTCTGCGGCGCTTGTTGCTGGTGTGGCTGCTCTGATCATCCAGCAGCATCCTGATTGGACGCCCGCGCAGGTCATGTCTGCAATGATGACAACAGCTGGCCGCACTGACAGCAGCAACAGAGTGATTCGGAATGTGAATGGGGAACCGGCAACGCCCTGGCAGATGGGAGCGGGGCATGTGTTTCCCGCTAGGGCGCTTGACCCCGGGCTGACCTACGATGCCGGGGAGCAAGATTTTCGGAATTTCCTTGCTGGGCTGAACATGAAGCTGGCTCGGAGGGTGTTCGGGCCGGTGCAGCTGACACCCGTTGCACCCAGGCACCTGAACCGGCCTTCTATCTCGCTAATCAACATAATCACTAAACTCACCGCTAGGCGGACTGTGACGAGTGTTTCAAACACCACATCGACCTACAGGGTGAGGGTTAACGCCCCTGAGGCAGTGAGAGTGAGAGTGGTGCCATCGCAGTTTACCATAGCGCCGGGGCAACGGGTCAGTTTCAAGGTGACGGTTGTGGTGAGGAGCAAGTTCAAAAGGTTCAAGTACGGCAGCCTCACATGGGAGGATGACAAGGGGCACTCTGTGCGCTCAGTCCTTGTTCTCCATTGCAAACCTACTTGCATGTACTATTGCTAGATCATTAAGTTGTGTCAATCAGTGGTGCGCCGTGCAAGCATAATGTATTTCTATTACACAGTACTCAAATCTGAGGGTACCAGTACATTCCCACAAGTTACGCTTTGATTGGCGCGTTCCAAACATAACAGCTTTATGATATGAAGGCCTTGGAATTGCAGTATGTTTAAAGAGCATCGTTGGCCCTTGCAGAGCTGGTGGGGATCAGGGCTCTTGCTAACTTTTAGGCCCGTCTGACGTTTTTCCAAAAAAAAAAAAAAAATCGTCTTGCCCTCATATGGAGGATTCGTGATGGTCTTTGCCTCAGACGGAATTTCTAAGATCGATTGTCCGCACAGACAGATTTATACGAAATCAGACATTTATGTAACTATGTAGTCTACTCTACACACAGACTACACTATTTCTACAAATAACCATACAAAGAATACGAACTAGGATTCACTATCGCTATCATGAGAATAATCTTCGTCATCGTCCCCGTCTAGCTCTGAATCTGAAGACATGTGCACTTTGCCGTGGCCTGCCCGTCTCTGCCAGGGGCCCAACTCCTCCTCTAGCCTAGCTGCTTCTTCTGCAGCTGCTGCTTCACGAGCAGCAGCATCTGCTGCTGCTGCTGCTGTTGCTGCCGCCTGCTTCGCGGCCAGCATCGCAAGGGTCTTCTTCGTGCGCTTCACGGGCCTCTGCGCATGCACCATCACCACATCCTTGGCTGGACGCCTCCTCTTCGCGCCTCTCCACAGCTCCACAAGGGCGGGCCAGTCAGGTTCGTACTTCAGCATGGAGACGGTCATCAGGTCGCCCAGCTTCGCGTCGTTAAGATTGCCGCGTAGCCAGCTCTTGATGATGTTCTGGCGGGAGAAGCCCCGCTCGCACTCCACGGTGCTCAGGGGCAGCACTGCGACTGCCATCCAAAGGCGGACCAGGTTGGGGTAGGCAATGCACCAGTCGGGGGAGTTGAGCATCTGCTTCAGGCCGTCCTGGAAGCTCAGCTCCTGCTGATGGGTTGACATGATGGTGGTGAAACTGCTGAGCTCCTTCTGTGCCCTCGTCCAGTTGACTCCTGGTGGCAGGGTGCGAATCAGAAAAAAGTTTAATGTTAGACCGCGCTGGTGTTCATAAGCCACCAGGCTCAAAGAAATCAACGAGGCATAAGGCGACACAAACAACATGTTCGACTCAATCAGGCACTACCGACATCGAAGACGTACCTGGCAGGGTGTCAGGGTCGGTCGGTTTTCGCTTAAACAGATTGCGGAGAGCCTCCAGCCACTGCAAGAACCGCCGCTGCCGCTTCGAGTGAGATTTCGGGTACGCCCCCTGCGTGAACAGCTTGGCGCCCTCGAGAGAGCCCAAATCCTTCATCCGGCTCTCCAAACGCTTCAGCAGCTCCTTCACGTACCCCTTCGCCAGTGTGATGCAGTCGTCCAAGCCCTCGCCAGATTTCTGACCTTTAATCTTCTCCTCGTGGAGGGTGTACTCATGAGTGGTTGGCGCCCCAGTCGAGTCGGTGCCCGTCACCTTCACCACCCTCTTCTCCGACGACGCATGCTTCGCCAAAAAGGCGCTCAGCTCGTTGCTCCCCTCTCCGAAGTCGTCCGCGTCACTCAGGTAACGGTTGCGGAGGGTGAGCCTGGTGTTGTCCACCATCTGCAGCACGTGCGTCACATCAACCTGCCACACACATGAGAGGCCGTGGAAAGGCTTGCACGGGTCAGTGTCACAGAAATTAGATTCAACATCATAATACAAAACCCGTCAAAGCAACGAGTGTAACAACATACCTGCCGTCGCTGGAACTTGAGGTTGAGTGCGTCGAGTTCCTTCAACACATCAGCCAAGAAAAACAGGAGGAAGTGGAATTTAAAGCTGGTTACAAGGAGGTAGGCCTTCGGGTCGTTCTCGTATAGCAGAATGACAGCTGCTGGAAGGTTGTCCGCCAGACGTTGAACTGCCAGACCACGTGAAAGCCACCTGACGCTGTGGATGCCCTGCAGCTTCAGGTTTGTTTGGCAGAGCACCTCCTGCAGCTCTTTGAAGCGTAGGTGGAAGTTGCCCGACCGTCCAAGCTGCTCCGCCAATGAGCGGAGGACTCTGTCGACGAGGTCAAGGTCGGGGTAGGCCTCGGCGGCATCCTTTGCCGCCAAAGCTTCCCTGACACAGCACGGGAAAAACGATAAGTTAGATAAACAGGCAACGCATGGAAAAAATAACACATGTCGGGTTACACACCTGTGCGCGACGCAATGGAACCCGGCGAGGTGTGGAATCCGTGTTCGAAGGCGCGCCACCAGGCCCGTCTGAGAACCGACCATGACGCTTGCACCGTCGGTGCTGATGCCACTGACGCGTTCAAGTTCGAGGCCGGTTCCTTCTAAGTGGGTTAGAAGGACTGCCTGCAGGGAACCAGCATCGCACTGCTCAACTGTTAGGTGCACGAAGAATTCAGTGACTGGCGTGTTGTTGCGGAGGAATGACAGATAGACGATGATGTGTTTTCCTCGTCGACGGTCCGTGCTCTCGTCCAACTGAATGCCCAGGTAAGGACTCTCCCGGATGTGCTTCATCTGTTGAGCACGAAGGTAGACGACGAGTACCTCGACCAACTGCGCGAACCCGTACCTGCAACGATCAGGAAAAAACCATCTTAGAAACAAGCGGGTTTTAACAAGCGGGTCCCCCAAAAGCATACCAACACTTACTCGCTGTAGTATGTGCCGGAATCCTTCAGGGGCATGTCTGGCGTGCCCATTTCTGCCATGAACTGGACCAGCGACACAAACAGCACAATGGGTGAGTCACTTCTGCAAATGAAAATAACTGTTGCCAATAGTTTTGCCAAACGGCTGGCATCCGCGTCACCGTTTTCGAAGTCGACAATAGTCTTCTGAGCCGCATTTTTTCCGTCTCGAAGCTTTTGTCGGTCCACTGCCGCCTCATGCTTGATCGAATGTTGGTGCTTCCGCATCGTCTGTCGTTGAATGTCGAGCCCACCCTCCCCGTCACGGCCGTACTGGTAGCTGGGGTCACCGTGCACCATGCAGATTGAGCACCTCATACAGGGTTGACCCCATGAGGTTTGCGAGATGATGAGCCACGGGAAGTGCTTGAGCCATTTCTCCTTCGCCTTCTCCTGCCACTGCTGGACGGTCAGGACATGGGGGTACTTATCGTCCTTGTCGGCGGCGGCGGGTTTTGATGGGCCTGGACGAGGTGTGAAGCGGGGGACGGTAGCTGGGGCGACACCTGGAGTGGGACGGGCAAAACTGAGAACACGCTGTTTGAAATTGCCGTTCCCAACTCTAACGCGAGAAAAAGAGATTGCAGGTGCGGTGGTAGCCACAGATGCCGAAACGAGCGGGGGCGACGACTCACCTTCAGCCGTGCTAGGCTGGGTCGAGGTCTCTGCCGCATCTGACGTGGATGGCGAGGGGATAATAGGCTCGTTGTTGCAGGACGAAATGACGTTGGGGGGAGGAATTATAGGCGGAAAAGTCCCTACTGCGGCAGTTGTGGTTACTGGAATCGCGGCGGGAGCTTTCCGCGTTAAGAAATCTAACGCGGATACCAGGGGCGCCTCAGGTACCGCGGGTGAATCACGCTTAGCGTTGTCGGTTGAGGCGGGTGCGCCATGTTCGTCTAGCATGGTATTGTGTGGTGAGACACATGACGGGACGGGACGAATTGAAACGGAGAGAGAGCAAGGATGGTAAAAGAAAGGCTTGGAGAAGAAAGGATGGGTGGTAAGGAAGGACCGTCTTGTCACGAACCGCACCTCTCTGACGAGGGTCTCACGAAATGCGATGGCAGCCCATGCATGCCTTGTTTGCTGTACACCGACTGTCCTTGCACTCTGCCAGCGAGGGAGGGGGAAACGTGGCAGCGGCGCCGACAACAGCTACCTGACAGATGCGTGGCAGCAACTGAGTCAGATGCAAAGTGCGCTGGCAGGAAAAATCCAAAACTAACCCCGGCGCCCACACGCAAATATCATTACGCGTGATCACACAGGCAACACATCGCTGCTCCACTGGCCAAGTGGGCCAGTTTGTCTCTTTCAGACGAAATTATACGCGATTTCTACTTAATCAGCTCCCTTGCTATAACTCTTATGAAAAAACATATGTTCATATAGCATTTGTCTGGGCTCTCATATGGCCCCAAAGGCAAAGTCTGCCGCAACATATGAACTATACATTTTGTGCCTGAAACCTAGACCAACAGACTAATTTAGTCTGCTAACGAGAGCCCTGGTGGGGATGTCATTGAGTGAGTTTGGCTCCCGTCTTGGGAGGGAGTTATGGTACTGTGGTTCCCCAAGTTTCCAACTCATGAGTTTTTCCCCTCCTACCTGCGGGGGGGGGGGGGGGAAGCGGGGGAGAGATGGAGAGGGACCCACCCACCACCCTACACGACACTCTTTGCAGCAGCAAAGCAACAGTTTGTTCGCGCCTCCCAACCACAGACAGGGTACCGTAGCTGCACAAGCAAGTGATTAACCTTCGCTTCTTTGCCCCCCAAAGTGCAATGGCGCTTTAACTTCTAGTGTTGGCATGTGAATGGCGTGCCAGGGATGCCATTCCTTTGTACACGCTTGCTGACTGTTGCGTGCCGGAAAGGAAACAAAGGATTCGAAACATGCGGGACAGTCAGTGTAGTACTGTAAACCCAGAAAAGAAACGCCAGGCCTGTTAAGCAACGTCTTTAGAGGCGAGGCGACCAGTGATGAGGTGTGCTGGGGTGTGATGGGGTGTGCTGGGTTGTGATGAGGTGTGCTGGGGTGTGATGGGGTGCGCTGTGGCGAGTCCACCTAGAGCCAAAGGATGCAGAGCTGAACCTGGTGAGTGGATGCTATTTTCACATTGAGGTCTGGTGGTTGTTGTGCTGTGAGATGGGTTGGCATCGGAACACTGCTGTTCCATCCGTTCATTACTCCCCTCTGCATTGCCCTCAATTCCCTACCCTCCCCTGCCCACCCCTGTCCTCCCCTGCCCACCCCTACCTCCCCCCTGCCCACCCCTACCCTCCCCTGCCCACCCCTGTCCTCCCCTGCCCACCCCTACCTCCCCCCTGCCCACCCCTACCCTCTCCCGTCCTGCGTGCCATGCATGCGGGGGTGAGAGCAGGTGATGATAGCAGCGGATGCCAAGCCACCTGTGGCACGAATCATGGACTACAGGTGAACGCTCAGTGCTCACCTCACCCACTCACACTGGCTAGTAGCTCAGAGACATGATGCTATGGTCGCGCTGGCTTGTGGGTGCATGTGTGTGTGTGTGTGTGGGAGTGTGGGTGTGTGGGTGTGTGTGAGTGTGTGGGTCGCGCTGGCTTGTGGGTGCATGTGTGTGTGTGTGGGGGGGGGTGTGGATGTGTGTGAGTGTGTGTGTGTGTATTTGTGTATGTGTGTGTGTTTCTGTCTCTTAAGCACTCTCAACGTTTCTCTGATGATCAGACATTGCCTTGATTCTGTTTTTTTTTCTGCTGGGCGTGAACCTAGTTCACCCACCTGCATCACCCCACCTATTTCATCCTCATTACAGCAAGTTCTGGTATGAGCAGCAGAAGAAGAAGCGTGAGCAACAGAAGAAGGTTGCTGCTAGCCGCCAGGAGATCAAGGAACTCAATCCCTCAGTCACCATCTCACTCACTCACTCACTGGCTCACTCACTCACTCTCTCAACCCTTTTCCTCCTCACTTGCAAATGATGTGACTTCCTTATGTCATGCTAACCGCCCATCCCCGTGAGCAACCTTGGAGAGCTGATGAAAAGGGTCATCAGGAGCTCCTCACCGCCTTCTCTGCTGCTCCTCTCCTTTCTCTTCTCCGTCTTCATCCCTTTTTTCTCGCTTCTCCTTTGTTTCTCTCTTTGCATCTCTCGTATTGGTTCTTTTGCTCCCACCGTGTTGTTATGCTATGCTATGTCAGCCAGTGACCTAAACATTGCATGTGGACTTCAGGATTGCATGGTGATTTTGAAAGCGCACATTATCACCCCCTCACTTTCCTCCACTCCAACAATTCCTCACAGCTTCTCCACCCCCCCGGCTCCCCTCCTTTCAACCCCACGTTGCCTACAATAGGCAATTTAAATCGCACGATTTCACCAAGGATTGACGACACAGCATTGGTTTGAACGAACGGTACTATGGCAGCCAAATTAGGAAGAGTTACGAGTTTTGGAATGACTCCCAGCTCCTACAAACCCCAAGAGCCGAGGTACAGTGATGTGGAACAGTGCCACACTGTCCCCAACCATGAAGGGTCTCGAAACTACCCACCACAAGTGTAAGGATTTACAAATTCCTTCCTGAGGCACTCGTTAGCGAGGCCCTCCCGAGGGTCACGCGTCGAACCTGTTCTTCCTATTTCGTCGCACCGAACCACTCCCGAGTCGCCTTTGCACCAATCACAACCATCACCGAGCCATCCTCGCCCAACCTCCCCGCCTAGCTAGGACTTCCCCTATTTAGGCCTCGTCACTTTCATTGTATCATTCAGTAATCAACCATTCTCGTTATTCGTTTTACTGCGCACTCTGCGAGTTCATTCATAACACCTGGTATCATAGCTACTTTTCTAGCTCACCTCGCTTTTTAGAGTGTAATACCCCTCGGGGGGGGGGGGGGGGGGACGAGGAAGGATGCCTTGGGGTCCAGGAGTTGCCTAGGCCGGCCAAGAGAACGGGTTAGTTGCTCTTCGCGGCCATGGATTTATCGTGCACTCCTCGGCACCGCCGGATCCTTGCCTTCAACGTTTGCGATCGACCGTGACCTCCCTCCCCCCGGGCAACGGGCAGCAGTAGCTGTCGCGGCATTAAAGTGAGTAATTTCCGCTACGATTTCCGACGATTTCAGAGGTTTATTCGTGTGGCAGCTGGCGTCAGCGGACCTGCGTCGGCATCTGCATGAACAGTCTCGACGTCGTCACTGTGTATGGCTGTTGACGCCGGCGGACCTGAGTCAACTGCTGCGCGACGATTCCGGAATCGTCCTTACGCGACAAGTTGACGTCGGTGGCACACGTCAACATGTGCGTGAAATTTTCGGGAGATCCTCGGCAGCTGGCAACAACGGGCCTGCGTGAGGAAGGGTGACATTTTTGGAGCTTCTGTTGAAGAAAAAGTCGGTTGGGGAACTCGCCATGCGCAAATGGAGTTTGCGTCTGAAAATGTCAGTGGACGAGGAGAGACGACATGCGAATTGCCCGAATAATGCGGGGTCAATTGTCGTCCCGCCCGACCTGAAGTGCAGCGGCTTTTACTGCATGGCGGGCGCGTCATCGAAGATTTCCGAAGGAGTGCACGTGGACAGACAAGAACTTCAGCCCCGCCGACACTTACGGGTTGCAACAGAAAACGGAGTGGCTAAATCGCATCCAGGAGGAGTGGGGCGCAAGCGGCGAGGGCAATTTGGGCCCATACGCCCCAAAGAACACTCGGATGACGCTGCGTGCCTGGTACTGTTGACTGCTGGCCGGCCATTTCAAGAGTGGATTCCCTGTAAGGAAGTCATTTTCGGGGACAGCCTTAGCAGCCCACGATCAAACGGCGTCCAAGGTACCACCCTGACATTTACGGAGGAGAGTGGTACGGCCGCCGGGACACACGGGAAGAAACTACCCGACGGCTAAGGGGGGGTTGAAGAACGGCGTGAAGGGCAGGTTAAAAGCCGGTGTGAACGATCGGTGACCTTCCGTCGCCCGAACCTCACCATCCCCACCAAGTTTTAGTTCTGACTCATGCAGTCAACTTACTTGCCCGAATAACGGGGGTGAACACGGGCGTACCCTGCGTTGGTTAAATTCACCTGGGCTGGTGCTCGTTCGAGAGCTGTACAGAAAAAAAACAAAAAATAAAAACAAACAAGGGAAGTTGCGGCACTGTTCTACTCCGACAAAAGCGGGCTGGGTGAAACAGCACGCAAAAAAATTGGGGCGCCGCAAGGACAACAATGATGAAGTTTGCTGGTTTCTCCTAGCCCGAGCGTCTACACGAATTGATGGCGCAGCTTCAAAGCTGGGACCGGGAGCTGTGGAGTTTAGTGGCGTAACGGTTGCGGTGGGCTGCAAAACGGTTGGGCGACAGTTCCTTATAAATAAGGGTCCCCGATCCGATAGCTTTTGCCCCTCCGCCGTAGCTGGGTTCGCGCGGGCAACACCGACTATACCCCATCCGAAAAAAACAGATGCTAGGTGAACGGCAGGAAGTGAAATTGTGCGGGGGTGAAACGACCAAAAAATCATGAAGCTGCGGGCATTTCTTCACTTCTTGGAGTGCGGTTAGGGGACTTCGCATGAAGGGCAATTTTCAAAGTTGCCTAGTAAGAAACACAGTGGCAAGGAGGCCTAGGACCCCCAGTGTTTAAACGCACACCTCGGGAAATTCTTCAGAAAAAAGGGAGCGTGGGAGCAGTTG